CAGCACTCAATAAATTCTTAGTGAACTGACTGACTAAAGTCTTTAAGACTTCAAAACACAGATAAGCTGAAGTGAACTTAGTCTTGTCCACTGAAGGGGCAAGTAAAAGTTAGTACTACTTCACAGAAGGGATAATTAACAATCCCTTACCTTTTATATCTTTATAACAGCCAGCGTTTACATCACCTCATTTCATCCTCACACTCATCCTTTGGGACCTACGGTGGCACTTCCCAGCCTCTTTCACATCAAAGTTCACAGAGAATGTGATATTTGCAAGGAACCCTGGGACGTTTCCAGATGCTTCCAGACAGCAGCCGCCCCATGTCCGGCCGAGGCATGCTGAGTGCCAAGGGGATCAATATCTTAGCATCCTCCAAATCCACATGGGAGGCTGTGGCCCAAAGCCACGACGCTGGCAATAACAGCCGGAACTTGAACCTAGGTGTGTGTGATTGCAAGCTCTGTTTTTTCCCCCTTATTCCCAAAAGGTGTTGCAGGCTGAGGTCACTCAGGTCATCTTTTCTTCTTCCTTTGTATTTAACAAAGATCTTATTGAAAATATCAGCCTGTCTACACTGCACTGACCCTTGGGCTGAAGACTTAAGGAAACACCAACATAGCAAAGATGGTCCAGGCCCGTGCTTGGCAAAAGGACCAAAACACTCAGGAAACAGGTGGGTCATTTACTACACTGCCCTTCCTCACTGGGAAATACCTATTTTCAAGTTCTTGTTTAATGAGGAAAACTTATATATTTGTCCTCCAAAGGAGAGTTTTTCCTTTAGTGCTTCAAAATGGTTTAGACGGATCGTGGGGTCCTGAGAATGTCCTAGGGGCGACCCTAAGCTTGCATCCTCCATGATGGAGAAGTTACAAGCCACAGTGGGGAAGGCGTGAGGTGCAGTCTGGGACACAAATAGATGTAGGTGCAGAGTCCAGCTCTTTCACTTACTAGCTTAGCCTCTTGGGGAAAGTGAGTTAACCTCTCTGTGCTTCAGTTTCTTCAGCTATAAAGTGGAAGTAAAGACAGCATTACGTCCTTTTAGGATTACTGTGCTGACTGGAGAGAAAGTGCATAAAATGCTAGCCCAATCTGCGTGGAGTAGGTGCTCAATAAATAACGGGTCTCACCATTAGGTGTCACTTCCCTGGCCAAGGAGACAGAGGCATAGGTTCTTTTTGCAATTTCTCTTGTGCTAAAGTAAAAATATTTTCTCTTTTGTAGACAAGATAAAGTCTATGGATCTCTGGAGTATCAGGACAAGGTCCACGGTTGCTGTGTGAAGTACAACCATTCCTGAGTGGAGTTAAGCAATTGAGACCACCCCATCCCAGCTGCTCTCTTCAAGAGGCTCTGAGCAGGAGGGCATCCACCAGAGGCCACACTGCTCCCGTTCTGATCCTGAACATCAATTAAAGACCCTCCCCTAAGCACCCCGAGCAGCCTGAGGGATTCTTCCAGCTGAGGAACAGCCCAGGAGGAGCGAGAGAGCTGCCCGGACTGAGCCAGGCTCAGCAAGCGCGCACCAGGTGTCTGTGCACGCTGGACCTCTCCCTCTCCCTCAGCCCCTCCACTTTCTATCCCGTCTCTAAGCCCCGTCAGTTTTACCCCTAAAACAGCTCTTAACTCTGCCCGCTCCCTCCAGCTCCGCCGCCGTCAGCCCATCCAGTCTCTCACTTGGACTACCCCAAAAGCTTCATAACTGGTCTCCCCACGAGACAGGGCAGTGCCAGTGGTGTCCCAGTACCAGTCCCTGAAAGCCGACTGTTAAATATTCAGGAATTTGGTGAGAACTGGTTGTGAAACTATCAGTGGCTTGAAATGAGCCAGGTTGGGAGTAGTTACCCTGTGAAAATCGGTCAACACTCCCCACCAGGGAGACTTTTCAGAGAGCTGATTTCCCAGCCCACCACTGCCTGGGCCGCTCCGAGGTGTCCCCGCAGTCAGAGCACACCTCCCTTCAACAGATTCCCCGTTGCTCTTGGGATAAAAACAAAACCTCCTCAGCAGGGTCCGACTCTCACCTTCTACACTCCAGCCTCCCTTGCAGCCGGCTCCCCCCACCCTGCATCCCCCCACACAGGGGCTCGGCACCAGCTGCCCCCTCTGCCCGGAACTCTCTTCCCACCTTCTCTGCTCGGCTGACTTCTACCGATCCCTCAGCCTCTGCTCAAGAGCCATCTCCTGGGGGAGCCTTCCCCACCCCTGACTGAGCCCGCCCCGCATGGGGTCTCACTGCACTGGGCCTGCCCTGGCACGGGGTCTCGCTGCACTGGGCCTGCCCTGGCACAGGGTCTCGCTGCACTGGGCCTGCCCTGGCACGGGGTCTCGCTGCACTGGGCCTGCCCTGGCACGGGGTCTCGCTGCACTGGGCCCCTCTCTCATGCCGCGTTCACCACAGCCGGAGTCTACAATTACAATTACTGACAAACGGCTCTTTCTCTTTTCCAAAAAGATCTTTATCAAAATCATTTATCAGAATCATTTTGTGCCCCTAATATGTGTGTAACATAGAGATAGTTGCTATGGGGGAATTGAAAGAAACCAAAAACCAGAAAGACCTCGCTGACCAGGAACTTAGAGCCTTGACAAGACACACGCCTACACACAGACAAAATGGCAGTGCACGAGGCGTGCCAAAGGAGTGGAGCTGAAGGAACTCAATGGGAGAACCAATTCCCACGGAACGAAGGAGTCCATGACGGCTTATGGAGGAGGAGCTGTACAGCTGGTCCCAGAGGAACGGGCGGGATTTAGGTAAAACTGTCCAGGACAGACAGGCTTGTCCCAGAGAGGGCTCAGCCGACCAACCTGTTGGGAGCCAACAAGGGGACGTAATGCTAGAGAGACAGGGTGAGGCCAGACCATGGAGGGGCCTCCAGCGGCAGAATGAGGAGTTTAGCTTTTGGGTTTTTTAAAATAAAGAACAAATTAAGGTTTTTGAACAGGGGAAGGAACTTGAAAGTATTAATTCTTGAAGACTAATCCAAACACCCAAACGCACACACACACACACCCCCCTTAGGCCATATCTATAAAGCCTCAAAGAAATTCTGACAATAGCTTTCCAAGCCCAGAGAGCAGACGGAGGCCATTTTGAACCAGAGATGACAGATACGTGGCACATTCGGACAGAACTCTCTTTGAAGGAAACCAAGATGTCTCTAATTCGGCTGCAACAAGATATCTGTTGTAGTCAAAACTCTAAAATCCCTGCCCGTTTAGAAGCAGGCCAGACCAGGTATATGTGGCGCATGGAACGATCTGGCTCTTCTGTTACAATGCTGGGCTCCTGGCTACACTCTGACCAGAACAGATTTGAGCCAGTTGCGCTTCTAAGGCCTCCTCAGCCATGGGCTTTGCTGGGATCCTAGCCTGCCAGTCGGGTATGGGAATTACCACCTGCAAAGCTGTTCTCTGGCCTCCAGCTCCGGCTGCCACATCCCTCCAGGGGTCATTCCACCCACTCAGAGCTCACAGGGCTCAGGGCAGGGCCTGGAATGTCTTCCAACAAACTGAGGACGGGAGTCAGCTGACCAGAATGACCCTCGACATGCTGGCCAGTAGCTCCGTGACCCCCGCTGCTCGCTGCAGCCAGGCTCCTGGGAAGTGGGTTGCAATCTGCCATCCCTTCAGTCGAAAAGGGCGCTCAGCAGCCCTTGACTGAAAAGCAGATGCCTTCCTTCAAGGACTTCAGTGGGTCTGAAGTTTGGGTCAGGAAGCTACTCTCACCTATTTGGTGAGTGAGGGTCCCCTGGAGCAGTGGTCTCCAAATTGGGTATATGTACTCCAGGGGTTATCCAAGACTGGAATCAAAAAAATAAAAAAGAAATTAAGTTTTTCTGATACTAAACCCTCCTCACACCACTTGTCAGGTCAAGTGCCACTTCTGGTACTTGAGGTATCCTGAGGTCAATGGGGTTCCAAAGACAAGGGGTGGACAGGGGCCTGTGGGGACATGTTGAAGGTTACATGTGCCCTGCTTAGGTGGAATTACGGACTGTATTATCCAATTTTAATCAAAGAACTCTCATAAAATGGACGAGTGGCTTAAAAAGGCTGCCGCAGAGATTTTTCAGTACACGTAACACTTGCACAAACGGGAATATGGAAGAATCAACACTTCCAAGCTGAGAAACTCATGTCAGATACATAAGGAGTAAAAACAATGAGGGCTCACCAGATCTAAAAAGAAATTGGTCCCCAAAATTCAAAATTATAAAAATTATCTGAAATACAGATTTTTATCTACTATCCTTAACAATAATTCTCACTTTCATGTAGATCTCCATATTTTGTGCTGCAAAGTACTGCAAACAACCCTGGGAAGACATCATAATTAGTAAATATTGTAAAAACTAATTTTTAAGACATTTTCAAATATTTTATTATTCTCATCCTTTAAATTTTTCTGTTTTTGAAGTTTTTTTTTTTTTTCCTCTCCCCAAAGCCCCAGTACATACTTGTATATTCTAGTTGCAAGTCCTTCCAGTTCTTCCATGTGAGCCACTGCCACAGCATGGCTACTGACAGACGAGTGGTACAGTTCCACACCAGGAACCAGACCTGGGCTGGGGCCACTGAAGTGGAGCACGCCGAACTTTAACCACTAGGCCATCAGGGTTGGCTCAAAATTTTCTATTTTTGTGTGTTTTATAATGTGTAATATATTAGTACACAATAGATTAGCGCATGACAGTCTAATGTCAGGACAGATAGATAATTTAAAATATATATCATTGAGGCGGAAAACTTAAAATCTTTTCCTATTTATTTAGGTGGCATAGTCAATAAAGCTCAGAGATCACTAACCCAGAGACAGCTTAGCAGCCCTGGAGCCCTCTTCCCATCTCCCTTTCGCACTCTCTCCCAAGAAGCCCATGGCCAAAGGTGGTGAGCCTGGACCAGCACGGGGCAGAGGCGGGAGAGAGGAGCCTGTCTTCCCCACCCCTTCCCCGGCCGGCCCCTGGCTCTTCCCAGCGGCACAGAGCCCTACCTGATTGTGCCATCGGATGACGTTTCCAAATCCCCCTGTCCCAAGTCGCTCTTTCATTTCCCAGGCCCCACATGTCTGGGTCGGCAGGGAAGGTGACCAGCTCATAGCGATGCCGTGCTAACTCTGTAAGCAATTTGGGGTGGGGGGCAAAAGGTTAAGGTTAAGACAAAATGGAAGTCATGGGGATGGAGAAGGTGAGAGATATCATTGCCCCTCAGTGTGGGAGCAGAAGAAACTGAGCTGGTTTTCGTTTTGTAAATAAACCAGTTAGGTTGGTTGGGTTTTCGGCTTGGGTAGCAAACTTGTCTTCCTCGCCGTCCCCTACCCCACCTCCGCGGCTGTGGAAGCACGCAGGGAGGAAAGTCACCCAAGGGAGACGACGGCCCACACCCCGGGACCTCGACACGGGGCCCCCGGGACCCCCGCCAGGGTCGCCGCGCCCCACGCGCATTCTGCCCGAGGTGGCGGGGAGACTCTACGTTCCGAATCACGTTTCTCTCCCAAAGCCACCCACCTCGACGCCGCCCCCGGGAGCCCCCGCCAGGGCTGTTCTGGGCCCCCGACTCCAACCGCACGAGGGAAAGGCTTCCACGCCCTGAACCCCTGACTTTTAAACTCGACATAAGTTTCTCCAGGAGCCTCAAGCGAGGAGGGAGGTGCGAGCCCGCCAGGGCAGAGGCGACGCGGGGTCTGCAGGTGGCACCAGGGCCGCGCGCCGCCCGGGGGACTCACCTGTCGGCGGGGCCGCGGGGCGGGGGAGCGGCTCCCCGGGGCGGGGGAGGCGGGGGCTGGGCGGCACCACCGGGGTCTCTGGCACCACCCCAAGACATTAAAATACGGGAATCTTAAACCTGCCAGCCGAGAGCCACTTCCTCAAACACTTCCTGCTCTGACGTCGCGGGCACGTGGGCCGGGCCGGGTCTTAAAGGGACCGCGGCGTCGGGGGGTGAGGGAGGCGGGGGTCCGGCCACGCCCCGTGCCCGCGCCGGCCGGCTGTACCCGGGGACCCCAGCCTAGGTGACCCTGGGAGGGTGTGTGTGGCTTCTAGACAACTCTGGTCGAAACTGAACAGGCTGTGCTCGCTGAGATGAAAGCGCAGCCCTAAGCTGAGCCCTAAGACGCCAGAGTCCTTTTAAGACAAGTGCCTTCAACCTGAGCGGTTTCTGGGACAGGGGAGATGGGGATTTCCTCACCCCGGCCCTCCTGGGGTGAACTTGACACCGCTTCCTAGACTTTTAACTCGGTGGAATTTCCCGCGCCCCCGCTGGGATTGATTTAGGGACTGTTTCCAAGAACCGCCCTTGGCCTCCTGTCCTCGTGCTGCGCTCCCCTGGTTCAGAGGCTCTTTGGCTGGATATCAAGAATGATAAATCAAAGCTGTACTCCTTACAAGTGACAGTCCCTACTCCCCCTTTAAAGAAAATAAAGGAAAGGGGGGGGAATCTAGCAGAGTGACCCTAAAGCGGAGTTTCAGTCCCCGTGATGAAGGGAAATGGTGAGAGGCTCCGAGCCCTGAGGAGAGGGGTTCATCTCCCACCTACCTAGCATTATAATAAGGTCTCTTACTACTGAGTTTCTCAGTCCTAGGGCATCATATTAGCAGACAAAGGAGTTGTGTGTGTGTGTGTGTGTGTGTGTGTGTGTGTGTGTTGGTATATTTACTGGAGCAGGACAAAAAGTACTAAAGGAAGCCTAAAGATAAGAGCTCTCATTTATAGAGTGCTCACTGAGTGCCAGGTGCTGTCTAAACTCTGTGCTTAGGTACCCTCATTCACTCCTCAAGCCAACCCCACAAATTGGACAATACTGATTATTATTATCCCCATTTTACAGATGAGAAAACTGAAGCAGAGAGAGGAAAAGTCTGTATCCAAAGTCACAGGCTGGTAAGTGAGTGATCTGCTGTTCAAACCCAAGCAGCCAGCTCTCGGACCCACGCTATGAACATGTGGTTAAAAGCAGCGTCCTCAGAAGTTCACGAGGAGGCGAACTGGCTTTCGAATCTAGATACTGCTGTCGATTACCTCTGAGACTTTAGCCAGTTACTTGACCGCTCCAAGCATCCATTTCTCTCCTTTAAAATGTAGGCAGGATTCAGTTGAATTGCATGAAATTGTCGTTTTCTTATAAAGCAAAAACAGTCGAAACACAGCAAACACAGATCAGCAGTTTCATCTGGCTCAGCCTAAGGGTAGCAGGAGGACAGGAGGGCACAGGTCAGACAGCGGAGGCACTGGCAGGGTGGACGTGGAGGACAGAGGAGGTGCTGGCGAGCCCTGCCTGACACAGGGGACACTCCTGCCGGCACAGAGCCCCAGGCTGAAGGAGATGCTTAGGGACATACGTCAGCCCAAACAGATGGGTCCACGATGCCCGGGGCTGCCTCGGCACTTTGAGCTCCTGGGTTTTTCTCAATTTACCCTACTGTCACTGCCAAATAGCACACTCAGCCTCAAAGCAGGAAGAGAAAAGAATGTGAGTAAACAGTTGGAAAGCACTTAGAATGGTGCCCAACACATTCTAAATGCTATATAAGTGTTTGCTTAATAAATAAATTTTTAAGATAAAACATATTTATTGAGCACCTATATGAGTTGGGCCCTATGTCGAGTCTATTTCTTATATGACATCATAAAAGGTTTCTCTTTAATCACTGTCACTGAGAAAGTTAGTGAGACATCCACTGATATACCAAAAGTTTACTCCACTCCGTAATTTAACAGTCCCCATTTGCTCAGCTCAAAATAATTTGGTTTTCAACTGAACATAAATCTCTCTGATAAGGTCACATATTACTAGATTTAAAAAAAAATGAATGATGGCCCAGGAAGGGGCCTCTGGGTTTTATCATGTCTCAAGAAATTTGTCATCTTAAGCCCTGTTTTCTCTTCAGAAAAGACATGCCCACTGCCTACATCTGGTCTCTGTCCTGCTCTAGAGATGTGAACAGACTGTTTGCAAAAAATATTTTTAGATGCAGCAGAAAAATATTCCCTTTTCTTCCTGTTTTAAGGCTGAGGGTGCTATTTAGCAGTGACTATAGGGTGGTCAAGAAATACTGAGCAGCCGGCGTGCCTGGCACAGCTCTGGGCATGGCTGACCTGGGGGGGCCAAGCAATGCAACTCTCGTCAGAGGCACCTAGAATTTTTTTAGGGAGGTCAGATCCACAGAAAGCCATTAAGTGATGAGCAATAAGGACGAGCAGGCAATACAAAATTCCAGCACTGATTGGTTCTGTTGTGGAGGTAGGACTGCGCTAGCGATAAGGATAAAGTTTCTAAGGGGTTTATTTTAAAATAAAACCTTCTCCCCAGGGTCCAAGATAACTATCCTCTATTCAGTCTTTTTGTGCCATCAATTGAGAAAACTCTATTCTCTTACCTAACAGCAGCCAGGCATAGCAACACTGAACTCCTTTGAGCGAGGAAAGGATTGTTATCGGAACATCTGGGAGCTGAGTCACAGTAAGAGAAACCAGCTCAAAAGACAGGAAGGCACTCAAACAGACCGTTTGGAACAGGGAGGGTTTCCCAAGCCCCCCACTGCCCACAGTCAGCTCTGGCTCAGTGACTTCAGCGACTCTCTCATTACTTCCAATTTTCTCCCTGCCCTGCAGAGAGAGGACTCTGTAAGTCAAGACTAGCTCCTTCAACAAACAAAAAGTCTTCTGCCAGAAAAGTTGGAAAACTTGTTTAGTTGGAAGACATGAAGAAATCCACCTTTCTTCTAGGGGAGTTGGTGGGAGATAGGGCTGGGCTGGCAGAGCCCGATAGTGAGAATGAACCCTCTTCAAATTAGAGAGGAGGCAGTCACTAAGGAACGGTGGCCTAGCCCACGGGGGCAGAGAGACGGTGGACGGGCTGCTGTGTACGGTTTTACCACCGGGCAGGTATGTTTTGTAGCTCATCTTCGTTCTGAGCTGCTCCTTTAGCTCTCTGGGAGCAGAGATTGTGTTCACTGCTGCATTCCCAACACCTGGTGCATCATAGGTGCTCAATAAAAATTTACCGAGTGAATGAGCAAATTGGCCAATGCAAAGACTGGTGATGCTGCCCTCTTTGGCATTTGGTTATACGTGTTGTCTGGAGTCTGAGAGACATGGGTTCTAATCCTGCCTCTGCCTTTTCTTGGCTTGGGGATCTCAGGCAGTTTACTGAATCTCGTTGAGCCTCAGTTTTCTGTAAAATGGGGGCTAATAAAACCTACTCCTCGTGGTTATATGGTTTAAGTGAGATTATATATGTAAAGTGCCCAGTACAGAGCCGGGTGCCTATTAAACCCTTTTTGAATAGTAGTTTTTAATGCTGTTGCTTTTTTAATGCAATAACCCAGAAATCAGCTGAGACTCCTGTCTTTTGTGATTCAGATGAAGTGGGCTCACCCCTGCCTCCCATTACACTGAAAGTCCACGTGTCCTTCACCTTTCACATCTCTCCAGGAATTTGGTGTCAGATGTGGTCGTGTCTGATGGTGGGTGAGGTGGGTGGTGTGTTTCCTATTTATCTCGGATTCCGAGCTCCTACTTTTGCGAAATTCTTAATCGCTCTTTCTACATGGGCCCTCCTGTCCACCACAACCAGGAATTTTGTCACCATACTCTATTCTTGTCCTTCAGAGCTCTTGTCACTAATTTTTTTTTTAAGGGTTGGGCTTTTTCCTGAACATGTTACAAAATCAAGAAGACTGAAGCCAGTGTCCTCATCGGGCCCCTCAGATTCTTCTTTCTTTCTTCCACTCTCTTTTCCTCCGTTGAGGCAGCAGTGGTGGAGGGGACAGGACATTCTGTGGGGCAGGGCCGCCAGCCACCTCGCTGCAGAAGAGGCTCCTGATCTTGATGTTGGCCAGGGCCCTTGCAAACAAGCCTGGACAGAAAGGTTCAACATTGACACCAGCCACTTGAATGAGGGCGGTGATCTTGTCCTCCTTGACGGTCACTGAGTTGTCACGCGGGATGAGGACTGAATAGTGTCAGGGAGGAGGGAATTTCCTCTCCACCCTTCTTGTGTTCTAACGGCTGGAGGGGTAATGAAACTGGCACAAAACCAGATCAACAGGAGAAAACCCAATTGAATTCATAAGAGTGAACAAAGCAGGCAGTAATATATCTTTTTACATAAAGAAATAATAAATTTGTGAGGAATGACAGGACAAAGGAATGTAGGTTTGAGGTAGGTAATTAGTGAGGAATTTAAATACAAGTTAGGCTTGGGGTAGTAAGTTAACAAGGTCTGCTTATGTGGCTCCTCAGGCAGCATCCCCTGGCTCTGGGGACGGGGATGCAGGCAGAGCGTTTCCCATGGAAGACTGGTTTCCTGCTTTCAGAGGGAACAGAGGCAGGAGGCCCAGAATGCCCTTTTTGCTTCTCAAGTGACCTGAATTCAAAATGATCAATGTGCCATTGTGGGATATTTGGGGATAGCCTGCTCTGGGCCCCCACAGTTGATGTAGGCAGTCTCAGGGGCCAAGGCCATGGGGAAGGCGTGTGCCAGCCCGGCAGCTGCCCAGCACTGTGCTAGTTGCTGGATGAAGTGAGGGCCCCACCCCACAGTGGCCTCAGCTTCCTCAGAAGGACCGAGCACCTTAGCGGCAGCTTTGGGAAGGAGGCTCTCACTGATTTCAATACATATTGGTCTGTTTATTGCCTGCCTCCCCCACTACTCCTGTGTCCCACTGTCCATGCGTCACCCAGTGCTGGCCACCATGTAAAGTAATAGTGACAATAGCGAACATTACTGGCCGCCCAGCAGGTGCCCTGTGATTATTTCTGTACTGGAGGAATTTGATCAGTTCATGGGTCGTCTTGCCATGGGCTCATGGATCCTGTTTTCGCCCAGGCATGGCGGTTATCCCTTCTCCTTGAATTCATCCAAATGATTTT